TTAATATTTAGTAGCTATATATTTGTGTAAATAAAATTTTAGTAATAATACATCATCTTGTAAATCCTTTTCACTTCAGAGATATCATTAACATTTAACCACGTCAGTATATAGAGCTCTTCTCAAACTTTTCGCACTAGGGACCTCTATACAATCTTAAAAATTGAATTTTTAATCTATGTGGCTTCTGTGTATTATGTTAGATATTTAAAACAGGCTTAGTTCCGTTTGTTATGACCTATTTGAGTTTGTATGTATTGTTTGCTCTGCCTGAGATGCCTTCTAGCTTTACCTACTCCAATCCAGCTCAAACATCACTGACTTTGAAGACCACTGTCCCTCCTACATACATAGATAGAACTCATTGGGCCTTACTTTGTGTCTAGTTCTGCATTTAATTCCTGCTTGGTATATTCCTTTCTAGGTTTTAGATCCTTAGGGTAGTAACAGTGTATTATTCAGTCCTCAATCTCTATTTATTGATACTTCTCTTCCTAGTTACTGAATTGGTGAACTATTATTTTTTTATATGCAGGTACAGTTGATCCATTATTTAATCTTTCTTTTAGTTGTACCAATTTCATCAGATTTTGTGACTTTTTTGAAAATTTTGGTGGGACTTCAGAAATATAAGTATCTTGAATTTTCAGTTTGGTAACTTTTTAAAAAATATTTTTAGTTGTAGATGAACACAGTACTTTATTTTATTTATTTGTTTTTTATGTAGCACTAACCCAGTGCCTCACACATGCGAGGCAAGTGCTCTACCACTGAGCCACAACCCCAGCCCTCAGTTTTGGTAACTTTTATTATTATACATTTAGATGTTATTTTATGAGGCTATCTATAAGCTATGGCTTGTGTCTTTTCTTTTGCAGAAATGCCTTTTGTAATGTATGAATGTGTATATGTTTAGTTTTCCACTACAAATGCTTTGCTGAGTTTTCGAAGTTGTGTAAGAATTACAGGAAATGCAGCTTCATAGAAAATGGTATGGATTATAGCCCACTTGGCAGATCTCCCACAAATAAACTAGAAAAAAGGTTTATTATTCAAAATACGTTTGCTAGTTTCTTTTTTCCAGTACCCAGGATTGAACCCAGGGGTGCTCTACCAATGAACTACATCCCCAGTCCTTTTTGTTTTTTCATTTTGAGACAGGGTCTAAGTTGCTTGGGCTGGCCTTGAACTTATGATCTTCCTGCCTCAGTCTCCTGAGTAGCTGGGATTTTTTTTTATAGGCATCACCATTATACCCAGCAGGTTTACTAATTTCTTAACTAAGTGATTGACACAAACAGGTGATGAATACAGAACATTATTCAGTGTATATATATCGAAGAAAATAAACACAGTGGAATATCCATATTGTAGCAGGTAGTCTCATGTTGTATAATTTTCGTGAACACTCTTCCTAATTAGAACCCATTTCTTTTTTGTTTTCCTCAATTAATATAGAATAATCCCCATCCTGATCTTTACCAGTTCTCATTATTTTCAGAAAAATAATATTTTATCTAATTATTTCATCATGGCAGGGTTCTCAAACTTCATGTACATGAGAATATTCTGAGGTGTGTGTTTGTGGTATGTACTCTTTGTGCCTGTTGCTAAGTAGTTCACATGTCATATTTTGTCTTTCGGGTCTTAAAATTTTATCTCATATAGGATTTTGCTGGGCACAATGGCCCCTGCCTATAAACCTAGCTACTCAGAAGACCAAGGCAGGAGAATCACAAGTTCAAGGCCAGCCTCAGCAATTTAACAAGACCCTATCTCAAAATGATAAATAAAAAGGACTAAGACTGTAACTCAGTGATAAAGCATCCCTTGGCTCAAACCCCAGTAACAAAACAAAAAAAAAAGAAAAAAGGGAGATCCTAACATTTTAATATCCATTTTTAATAAGTGATCCAGAGGAGAATAGCTATTGGGGGACACAAAGGGGAGGTCTGGATGATTTAACAAAAAGAGATATTTTCATGACATTTTTCAGGACTTATAGGTACAGTGTATTTAGTAGAGGCAGTAGGAATCATTCTTGTCCTGCCTTTAAAATTATTGACAACGTTTATGTTTCATTATGAAGTTTGTATAGAATTTTGGCCCTTTCTCATGTCCAGGAAATTTATTCTGTTCCTACCAAAGCCTAGTAGTTTTTGTTGTTTTATGATGGTGGGATGACTGTTGAATTTTGTCATTTTTTCTAACATGAATTAGGATAATCACAGTTTTGCTTCTTTAAGATTAATTTATTTGTCTTGAACCATTCTTGCATTGCAATAAATGCTTAGAATATACTTATTTTGCTAATATCTTATTTAGTTTTGCTTAAGTGTTTTTAAGTTTTCGAAATAGGATCATAGCTTTTTTCTCTTTTTTTGATGGAAAACTGGTTTTGGGTTTTTTTGTTGTTTGTTTTGTTTTGTTTTGCACTGGAGATTGAACCCAGAGGCACTTTACCACTGAGCTAAATCCCCAGACTTTTGTACTTTTTGAGATAGTGTCTTACTAAGTTCCTGGTGCTGGCCTCAAGGTCCTCCTGCCCTAGGCTTCCAAGTCACTGGAATTGCCGGTGTGCATTACTGAACCTGGCTCAATTATTAGCTTTAGAGAAAAACTCAAAATGATTAAAGCAGCACAAATATTCTAAAATCAGAATACATCTATATTGACAGAAACAGCTTTGGGTGTTTTTTTGTTTGTTTGTTTGTTTGTTTGTTTTTAAAGAAAATCTAAAGACCTCTAGGTCGTAAAGGCTTAAACAGGAAATTTCATTTTAAGAGCTAATATAAAAATTTCATAGTTTGGTAATTCCTTCTTTTAAATTTGTTAATATTTATTTATTTTTTTGGTGGACACAACATCTTTCTTTGTATGTGATGCTGAGGATCGAACCTGGTCCGCATGCATGCCAGGCGAGCATGCTACTGCTTGAGCCACATCCCCAGCCCCCGGTAATTCCTTCTTTTATATGTTATTCTTCACAGTACACTTACTCTAAATTTTATTTCTTGTTTAGGTACGTATAGCTGCTAAATTCATCACTCATGCACCCCCAGGGGAGTTTAATGAAGTATTCAATGGTAAGTAAGGATTACTATTTAGTTTTTTGAAGCTGTACTTTAATTACAGTCATTCTTTTAATCTGTTGGACAGGTTACAGCTATAGCAAAGGAAATCAACATTCAAAATGATTGAAATAACTTGTCCAAGGTCACCCTGCTAGTAAGCATCAAAGTAAGGATTTAATTCCAGGTCTGAGTTAAAGCTCTTAACCCATTAATTACCACACCTATCTTAGGTGAGAAAAGATTTAAGATAGTTTAACATAAAAAAGTAGAAACAATGTTAAATTTTATAGTTTTATTTTTATCATAATAAGTAATAGCTTAAATTTCATCACTGCTGAGCCAGTGATGTGTAATCCCTGTGGTACTAGAGGCTGAGGCAGGATGATCACAGTTTCAGAGCCAGCCTCTGCAACTGACCCTAAGCAACTCAGCAAGACCTCTTTCTAAAATAAAATATAAAAAAGGGCTGGGGAGGGGCTCAGTGGTTAAGTGCCCCTAGGTTTAATCTTCAGTACCATTGCTTTCACTCCAGAAGTTCCATACTATAGTACACACTCTAGGGCCACTGGGGATGAATTGACTGCATCCAGGGAGCTTATTAAACTTAGAGTCAACTTTATCATTCCCTCAAGATTCTCATTCTTGGTAGAAAATCTTTGCCACCTGCACCTCAGAGCATTAATCTCCAGGATATATAAAGAACTCAAAACACTAACACCAAAAGAACAAATAACCCATTAATAAATGAGCAAAGGAACTGAACAGACACTTCACAGAAAAAGAAATATGATTGGTCTACAATACATGAAAAAATGTTCAACATCTCTAGCAATTAGAGAAATGCAAATTAAAACTATACTTAGGGCTGGGGTTGTAGTTTAATGGCAATGCATTTGCCTAGCAGGTGTGAGGCACTGGGTTCTATCCTTAGTACCACATAAAAATAAAGCATTCTGTGCATCTACAACTACAAAAAAAGAAGTTTAAAAAAAAATACTGAGGGCTGGGGTTGTGGTTCAGGGGTAGAGTGCTCGGGTTTGATCCTCAGCACCACATAAAAATAAATAAAGATATTGTGTCCAACTACAACTAAAAAAAAGCAAATATTAAAAACAAAACAAAACAAAAAAACCCAGATTCCATCTTACTCTGGGGTTGTAGAGCACCTACCTAGGACATGTGAGGCACTGAGTTTGATTCTCAGCACCACATAAAAATAAATAAAATAAAGGTATTGTGTCCATCTACAACTAAAAATATTTTTTTAAAAATGAATAAAGTAACAATGAATGTTGGCAATAATGTGGGGGAAACACTCTGAGGGAAAAGATCTTGAAGGACCTCTAGATCTTAAGCTTACGTGCAAGCAATGAAGAATACAACCTGTGAGTTTACCCGTGCCATAGCATAGAACAAGCACGGAAAATCTGTGAAGTTTTATCCACGGCATTTGGCTCTGTTAACCTCTGAGAAATCTTGAACCCTGCAGTAAAGTGAAGGCCAACCTCACCTAAGAATCCAGATGTTTCCTGCTTTCAATCTGCAATGTTGAACTATTAGGGAAAGATGAAGTGATGTCCTGCTTCAATTTTCTGAACAGACTGCAGTGTGATGTATAAAATATTGCTCATTTGTTTTTATATTAAAATGTGTCCTATTTTTAAAAATTTGCCTATAATCTCAGCAGCTCAGGAGGCTGAAGCAAGAAGATTGTGAGTTCAAGGTCAGCCTCAGCAAGTCAGTGAGATCCTGTCTTTAAATAAAATATAAGACAGAGCTGGATATTTGGCTCAGTGGTTAAGTGCCCCTGGGTTCAATTCCCAGTATCAAAAAATAAAATAATTTAAAAAATTGACAATCCTGCTTGGAAAGTAATTCAATAATAAAACACTTGCTTAGAATGTGTGAGACTCTGGGTTTTCTCTGCAGCACTGCAAAAACTAAAAATAAATTAATGGTCCTCACTAGACCTTCTGTAAAACATAGTTTTCTTTTGCTATGGAATTCCTTAAGATTTTTATTGTTGGATTATTATACTGCAAGTAATTGTTTACAGACCTATGAACATTAGCATCTATTTATTGGCATTTTTAAAATATCTACACATACAGCTTATCTAAAGCCTAATTTTGCAAAGCCTAGATGTTTTTTGTTTTGGGAAGTAGGGGGGTGCTTTACCACTGAACCACATCCTCAGCCCTTGTTATTTTTTAGTTTGAGACAGGAGCTCACTGAGTTGCTTAGGACCAAGCTAAGTTGCTGAGCCTGGCCTCAAACTTGGAATCCTCCTGCCTAAGCTTCCTGAGTAGCTGGAATTACAGGCCTGCACCACCACACCAAGTCAAAGCCTGAATTTTAAATATCTGTTCTAGAAGTCTACTAAAAATTCTTAAGTTTGTCCTGTACTTAACCTTTCAACACGGTTTCCTCCTCAGATGTCCGGCTACTACTTAACAATGACAATCTCCTCAGGGAAGGAGCAGCACAGTAAGTATCTTTTCTAAATCCACATACAATATTATTCTAACATTGGGTAAATTGGCACCCTGGAAACTAAGTTTAAAAATACTTCAAAATAAAGCAATTGGTCTTTTATTTTTCTTAGAGAAAACGTGTCCCACCAATATTCTTTACTTACTTGAAGCTTATTATATGAACTTATTTTTTATTCATCCATTCATTTATTTTTGCTGTACTGGGGATTTAATCCAGGGCCACTCTACCACTGAGCTACATTCCTAGCCCTTTTTATTTTTTTACTTTAAGATGGGATCTCACTAAATTGCCTCAAACTTACAGTCCTTCTGCCTCAGGCTCCTGAAAAGTTGGAATTACCAGTGCACACCACTGTGCCAATTTATTTTTGTCTTTGTCCAGATTCTCCCTATTAGAGCAGAATTTAATGTTAGCTATTATGTTTTCTTCTATTTCATGTTGTTGTATTTTTGGTTTTGTTTTTGTTTTGGTGGTGGTGATGGGGATTGATCTCAGGTCCTTGTGCATGCTAGGCAAGCACTCTACCAACTGAGCTATATCCCCAGCCCATGTTTATATTTTTAAACTGCTGGTTATAGAAGGATTAGATTGCTAATCAAGATTGATGTATCTCAAATTGCCAAATAATAACAGATATTCATAAAATGCTTTAATAATTAAATTAACAATAAGATAAAAGCTTTCAACCTTATTATTCATATCGTTGTCAGGCTAACTAATCTTTCTAAAACATCATTTTGCCCTTGTCCTCAGAAACATTGGGGGGAGCTATTATTCTTTTCACGACTCTCCGCTTCAGTGCCAAGTTTCATTTCACTTATTGTCTACCCAACTGTCCCAGAGTTCCTTTTTAAAAAAAAAAAAAATTAATAATGGCTGAGAAGAGGTGGGATGAGGAGGTCAAGGATATTTTGATGTAAAGGAAAAATAACTACCATAAAATCATTTTGGCATGATATGTAATTTGTTCAGATTTTAGCTATAAAGAACAGTTTGTTTGTTTGTTTGTTTATGTGGTACAAAAGATTGAACCCAGGGTCTCGCACATGCTAGGCGAGCGCTATACCGCTGAGGTATAACCCCAGCCCCTAGAGAACAGTTTTAAGAGCTGCTACCCAGGAAACAGGAAACAGTCTTCTCCTGCCCTGTTCTGCTTCTTTGGAATTCATTTTGGGACTATATTCTGTGTATCTATGATTTACATACCATCACTGTAATTGTCATCATGAATAATACTCTAGTTACACATTTATTTAGAAAAATAAGACACATTAAAGATACACTGAATCTCATCTGTATCCTTCAATGGATGGTTATCCAGTGTGAATGCTTCTAGTAATAAGGAATTCCCTATTTCGCAAAGCAAGTTCTTCAATTTCCCTGCCACATTGGTCGTAGTTTTATATCTGAGAGCTACCCAAATTAAATCTACTCTGTATTTCTCTTGTCAGAGTACTGCTAAAGTCTTAGGGGGTTCTGTGCCACTTAAGAATGAGTACAGTTTAAGCCTTTTTTCACAGTTCTGAAAATTAAGACTGAATAGAAAAAGTTGGTAGGTGGTTCAGATGTTTTAATTGCACCGACTGACATTAAAGCTTTATTTTATATGTATAGACACTCCGCATGTTACAGGCTGTAGGTTTTTGAAAAACCTTTCTTTTCTTTTTTTTTTTTTTAAAAAAGAGAGTGAGAGAGAATTTTTAATATTTATTTTTTAGTTCTCGGCGGACACAACATCTTTGTTGGTATGTGGTGCTGAGGATTGAACCTGGGCCACACGCATGCCAGGCGAGCGCGCTATCGCTTGAGCCACATCCCCAGCCCCTGAAAAACCTTTCTTTTAAGAATTTTTCTAAGCTCAACTACTTGCTTATAGAGATGAAGGGTTCAGTTTTATTTCTATAATGAAATGCTTCAATCTCTTGACTGCAGTCTTCATAGTTAGTGCTCAGTAAATGTTGCAGTAATCATCATAATCATCATCACCTTCTATATTAATTGAAGAAGTTCGGATAGATGTAAGATTTAACCCTTTCCTGGATTTACACCTATGTTTCTAACCACCAGAACCTTTTCCTGATAATTCACAGCACTTCTGGTATAAATAAGGTATTGTAGGTTGCATTGAAGAGTGAATTTTCCTCCAAGTGAGATAGGATGTTAATAAGAGTAAACATGATGAGTCTTAAATTTTAGAATGACTACTGGCTATGATTATTGTAATCACTATGTATCAGGGCAGAGGCTGAAGTAAGACAAATATTTGCAAGAGCATTAGAATAGTTTAGGGATGGATAGTAGGTGTTTGGACTAGAGTGGAAGCAGTGTGGGTGAGGGAAGGAGTCAGATTCTGAATATACATTCACATAGAACCTGTAAGATTTACTGATGGATTGGATGTAAAATGTGAAAGAGAAAAGTCAATCACTCCTAAGTTTTTGGCTTGAGCAACTGGTAAACGGAGATACTAATAGTACTTTAAAATTTTTTTTTTTTAACAGTGCATTTGCCCAATATAACATGGACCAGTTCACACCTGTGAAGATAGAAGGATATGAAGATCAGGTAATAATTGCCCATTAGATAGACTATGCCTGACAGGTAGTTGAGATGATAGAAACCAAAGCTGATGTATGAATTAAGTGCTGAATAAATTTATGTCTTGATTTTCAAAAGTTTTTAAAAATATTCTACACATTAGGAAATTCTTTTCTCTTTCTGCTGATACTAGTTGTTATCTTTGACAAAAAAAAAAAAAGAGAGAGAGAGAGAGAGAGAGAAAGCGCTGCCCCTAATATGAAGAGAGAAAATTAAAAGATCTTAAAGGTTTTCCAGCTGTCTCTAATTCTTTTTGGTAAGAATAACAGGAGACATTTTTATTCAATGGGGAAATAAAAGCATTCATACTGAAATATAGGCTACTTTAAGTTCCTTTAGGAATTTGCTATTTGAGAAATAGAAGATTTTTACCTTTATATATTTTTAAATGTTGAGTATAATGACTCTGAAAATTTTTCATAAAATATAGAAAAAAGAATACCTAAGTGTACAAAAGTACTTACATAAATATTAGACAAACCAAGAAATGATGGGTGTTTAGGAGGGGGGCAATTTATAGGATAAAGTTGACTTATCAAATATAATATTTTCATAAGAATGAAAATGAGACTTGGAAAAATCAATATGAAAGAGAAATTTGACTTAATGAAAAACTGCTTTCCTCAATTTTATTTACTTGTTTTGCAAAATGTGATAACTATATTTTTTATAGTTACTCATAATTTTAATTCTTCTTTGGAAGGTCTTAATTACAGAGCATGGTGACCTGGGTAATAGCCGATTTTTAGATCCAAGAAACAAAATTTCCTTTAAGTTTGATCACTTACGGAAAGAAGCAAGTGACCCTCAACCAGAGGAAGTAGAGGGAGGTTTGAAGTCTTGGAGAGAATCCTGTGACAATGCTTTAAGAGCCTATGTGAAAGATCATTATTCCAACGGCTTCTGTACTGTTAAGTATCTGTCTGCCTATTTTATTATCAGAGTGTTATATTTCTTACATTTACCTTATTGCTTGGGAACTTTGGCCAACCAAACATCACTTCTTTCTTAGTTATAGTCTCTGTATTTTATTCCCTAAATCTTTTTTTTTTTTTTAATATTTTTTAGTTGTCAGTGGGCCTTTATTCATTCATTCATTCATTTATTTATTTATATGTGTTGCTGAGAATTGAACCCAGTGCCTCACACATGCTAGGCAAGCGTTCTACCACTGAGCCACAACCCCAGCCCCCTAAATCATTTTTGAAAGGAGTATAAATACTTGAAAATTTTCTTTATAAAATCACAATGCATAATAATTTTGAATTTCTATATGTTCTATTTCATATTTATCTTATTTACTTATGAAAAAATATTGCCTTACTTCAAAAATTAAATTTTTTAAATTAAATACTTTAACTTAGGAAAAAATGTTAAAATTGTTGGGAGATCTATTGTCCACATTTGTGTCTTTTTGGCATAGGCATTTATACACAAAACTACTTCTGCATAGTTAAAATATTTTTCACTAGATAATCAAAACAGTTTTGAAATAAACACTTTTAGAAATCCAGCGTAATTTTATTTTTATTTTTTACTATCTCTTGGGCTCTAACTGATAAATTTGGCTCTAACATGATTTCCCCTTTATAATATTGTGACAAGAAAAATATGTATAGAATGTTTAATTTTTTATTTGTTTGTTTGTTTGTTTGTTTTGGTGGTGTTGTGAATTGAACCTAGGGTTTTGTGCATGTGAAACAAGAACTCTACCAGCTGAGCTATATCACCAGCCTCAGAATGTTTAATAACTTTTTATTATTGTACTTTAAACTTATATCAATTAATAAAATCATGATGTTTTGAAATATGTATACACTGTGGAATGGCTAAATTGAGCTAATTAACATGTATTACCTAATAGGTTTTTTTTTTAATGAGAATGCTGAAAATCTAATCTCTAAGCAATTTTCAAAAACAATACATTAACTAGACTATTTTAAATATGTGATGATAATGAGTTAAATGGCAATATAGAAAGTTAGTTAAGAGCACTTACATTTAAACTTTAATAACTGGTTTGAGTCTTAGCCCTGTCACCTAACTAGCTGTGTGACCTTAGGTAAATGACTTAATAGTTCTATGTCTGTTTTCTCATTTGAAATGGAAATAGTTCTTACCACATAGTATTGATGTGAAGATTAAATGAGTTAATGATGCATTTACAGAGCTTAAAACAGTGGCACAAAGTAAGCCCTGCCTAAATGGTAGATAACATTATTATTTTATTTATTTATTTAATAAAGGAGAAAAGCCATCTTGGTGTATACCAGTACAGAATTCCTTTTTGGAACCTAGTATTGCAGTGGGAGACTTGATACACTTCCTTTTAGAAATTGGCTCTTTGATCCTAAATATACTTTCAATTTGTCATTTGTTACCTATTCAAAGTTTGTTATTCCCCATTCTTAATATGGAGAGTTTCAATGGCAAATAACCTCGGGGGTCTTTTTTCACTTCTCTTAGCTATCAAATGAGCAACACAGTGCTGGAATTTTTCTAATGGTGTCTACTATACACTAGTTTTCTATATCCTTAGCTGTCTTGCTTAGTAATCTATTTTAGTAATTTCAACTCATTATTACCTATTACATTTTCTATGTGGCATTTTCCAGACAATTCTTATTTGTCCTAGATGGGCATCTAATCCCCAATGTTTTATTTGGTGTGAATCTCATATAAAATCTTTTTCTCTTCCCTCCACACTGAAAAACTTTTTCATTATACTTGAATTTGAGAAAGAAAGGTTCTTACTCTTGGTTTCATACTATCCTGTGTACTTTAAGACAATTTCATATGACTTTGTTTTTTCTTCTCATATAGTTCTCATTACTTAGAAATGTTCTTATTTTTCCTGTACTTAATGGAGATAAAACTTTAATCATGATAATTCCTCTAAGTTGTTTCTCTTCATCTTGCTGTTTCTCCTTTGTTTTCTTCCTTACCCTCCAAATCATTGGGCCTTCTTCCCCTACTAGTGCCATGTCCTCATTACTCATCCACTTATGAGCCTTTGAGTTTTACTTTAGTCTCCATCCTATAGAAAGTGCTCTCTAAGAGTATTAATGGTTCCTGAATCACTTGATCTAGTGACCATTTTTGGGGTCCTTGACTTCTGTTGCTGTTTCATACTGAGCCCAGAAAATAGAAATGATCTTTTGCTTAGACTGCTATTATCAATACCAATTAATTCTTTTTACTTTGTCTCTAATTTTCTAATATCCCAAAACTTTTAAAATACTCTTGAAAGTTCATAGCCCACTAAATATAGGGAAAGTAACACAGACTTAATGTTAGAAAAACAATATGTTTGGGATTTATCTTCACCACTTATTCTCTTAAGAGACCTTGGACAGAAACACCTATGAACTAACTTTACCTTTTGTGGATGATAAACATGCCTTTTGTTTTATTTTGTTGTTGTTTTACCAGTTTTATTAGAGCAAAAAGAAAATAATATGTGAAAACATATTATGTGAACTCTAAAATTTGATGGCTTCTTTGCATTCCCTAGTATTTGTTTCCATTTATTTCTACTATAAGGAAGAGTTGGTGTTTCTGTAACTACTGGCTAGACATTTCCATCTAGATTTCCCAGTTTGTTACTGATACCACCATCTTCCTAGTCATCCAGATGTACAAATACTTTGGCCCTTCCTTTTTTTTGTTTGTTTGTTTGTTTAACCCTTCAGTTACAATATATTGCTAAACTTATGCATTCTGTCTGCAACCCTTCCTTTTCATTACCATTTGATACTACCCTAGATTATGACCTAAATTAATTTATGTGGTCTTCTAACCAGCCTCCAGCTTTTCTTCCCTTTTTTCCTGTATAACAGTATCTCCAAAAATAATAGTGCTTGACATATTCTCCCAAAATAATAGTTTTGGTCATGTTGTTTTACTCTCTTTCTGCTTCCTGTAGAATGAAATCTAAAGTTTTTTACTTATATCTATTACTGTATGGTCTAAATCTACCATTCTGTCTCCCACTAGTCTACTTTACACATACCCTCTAACCTGATGACCTAATTGCCATTCACTTAACAAATCCTTGATTTCATGCCTGAGCTGTTAACTGGTCTTTATTCTCAGTCTCTGATTATCAGAATCTTATCTGCTTTGTAAAGCTCAGCTTAAATGGCATCTCCATTAAACTCTAAGCCGGGAGCAATATTTTCCTCTATTCATTGTACCTCTGTCTCTGTTAGAATTTAACAGAATCTCAGGCTGGGGTTGTGGCTCAGAGGTAGAGTGCTCACCTAGCATGCACGGGGCACTGGGTTCGATCCTCAGCACCACATAAAAAAATAAAATAAGGGTATTATGTCCACTTACAACTAAATATATGTACATATATTTTTTTTTTAAAGAATTTAACAGGGTCTGGTTGTGAGTGCTATGTTTCGCTTATTCTATCTGTCTCAAGGATTTAGCACACTGCTTATGTGCATTATCTGTCATTTAGATTAATTGTGTTTTTCTAGTCTGATTTTTTTTTTCCCCAATAGGTTTATGCTAAAACTATAGATGGGCAACAGACTATTATTGCATGTATTGAAAGCCACCAGTTTCAGCCTAAAAACTTCTGGTAAGAAATAGATATTCTCTTTTGTTTGCATCTAATTATTTTGTAGAGAAATCAGTAATTTTTATCTAATTTTGAGAATTTTTTTTTTTGCTGCAAACTGCACAGCAGTTAATTCAGATACCAGACCAGGTGATAAGGAGATGGAAACAAGACAAATAGAGAAAAAGCTGGTGCCCCATGGTTCTCCATCCCCTGATAAGAGATGGACAACCCAGAACCAGTTTAGCATGTTTATTATATAGGTTTTAACATCAAAAGGATTTGTTGTGAGAAAGTTTCTTAAAGTTCTTAACAGAACCAAAGTGAAGGGTATAAACAGCCCAATTAGAACTATCAGCTTTTGCCCATAATTCTCCACCTGTGGGCAGCTGTCATTAGAACCCAAGGTTAAGAACTGATAAGTCCCTGGCTAGCATGGAATTTCCCTTTGAACAGGGCATCACCACAGCAGCTGGGCAGTCTCAAATCTAGGCCTTTGCGCAGAGAGTTCCCAGGAGGGACATTGCCGGACAGCTCAAGGATTATATAATTCATTCGATGCTCCCAGCATTTATTAATTTATCATACATCCTAGTCCTTTTTATTTTTGAGACAGGGTTTCACTAGGTTGCTGATGGTCTTGCTAAATTCCTGAGGCTAGCCTTGAACTTCTGATTCTCCTGCCTCAGCAGGGTAAATTTTTTTACTTACAAGATTTTAGTTCACCATCTATGAATTTAGCCATTATTTAGGTTCCTTCCAATTCTAATTTGGTTTGGGGGTTTTGTTTTTTTGTTTTGTTTTCTCCCCAATATGTGGGATTGAACCGAGGGGTGCTTTACCACTAGCTACATCCTAGTTCTTGTTATTTTTGTTTGTTTGTTTTGAGACAGAGTCTCACAAAGATACTGAGGCTGGTCTTGAACTTGTAGTCCTTCTATCTTAGTCTTGTGAGTCACTGAGATTACAGGAGTGTGTCACCACACCCAGCTCCAATTCTTAGATTCTATAGCCATATCTTTTTAAAAACTACTTTTATATTGAGTGAGAACAAATGATTAATATAAAGTGCCCAGTTGAAATTATTGAGTTTCACTTGGGTAAGGGTTACTAATACTTGAGTTGATTATGTAACTCAGCAGCCTGTCCATTTTCAGAAGAACCTACCATGAACAGAATGGGCATGGTTCACTTCAAAGCAAACTAAGGAAAAGTGGAAATCCAGATAATTTAGAAAACGATTATGGTCAGGCCACTTGGTTCCAGACTTAGGTTTGAGTATGCCTTGGGTTTATCAAATTGGAAATGTCTGGTCCCCTCCTCCCCCACCCCTCAAAAATTTTTTTCAACTTTTTGGCCTCAGTGGTAAATCACCTCTTTCTTGTGCCTATTGCTAATTCTGCAGCACTCTATGTGTATGTTTTAATAGGAATGGTCGTTGGAGATCAGAGTGGAAGTTCACTATTACACCACCTACAGCCCAGGTGGTTGGAGTACTCAAGATTCAGGTAAGATTCCAACATGTTCATTGATCATGGTAAAAAGTTTACATTTTTGGTTTGGGAGTATGACTCAGTGCTTGCCTAATATGCATAAGACCTTGCGTTCAATCTCTAGCACTGCCTAAATAAATAAAACTTCACATTTTAAAATAAACATGCAAGTTGGTCTTTGTTCTAGAATTAAAATAAGTACTAAATTATATGCAGATGCAAAGAGGTGGATGGAAGTGAGTAGAAATAAAAGCCTTCCTGGGGAGGTAGTTAAACAGAGATCTATTTGGGATTGATAAAGATAATTATGTAGAGAATACTGTTTGCTGGTTATTTTTTTATGTGGTGCTAAGGAGCGAACTCAGTGCCTCACACATGTGAGGCAAGCTCTCTATTGCTGAGCCACAACCCCAGCCCTGTTTTATACTTGTGTGTGTGTTTGGGGGTGGGGGTGCTGGGGATTGAACCCAGGGTCTTATACATGGAAGGCAAGCACTCTACCAACTAAGCTATATCCCCAGCCCTATACATATACACTTTTTAATATAGACTGTCTGGTCACACTTTGGGAGAAGACTTACTTCATTTTTATTATCTTTTAAAAGTCACAATGAAAATTATTTGAAAGAGACATTAAGATATTTAGGCCTAGCAAGACACAGTGGCACATACCTGTAATCCCAGTGGCTCAGGAGACTGAGGTAGGAGGATCTAGAGTTCAAAGCCAGCCTCAGCAAAATGAAGGCTCTAAGCAATTCAGTGATTTATTTTATTAGAGACAGGGTCTTGCTGAGTTTCCTAGGGCCTTGCTAAATTGCTGAGTCTGACTTTGAACTCAAGATCCTTCTGCCTCACACTTCAGAGTTCCTGGGATTACAAGCATGTGCCACTGCAACTAGCCAATGTCACACTTATTTTTATAGTGTAATTTCCCATCAAATATTTGGTTTTCAGTGATTTTCTTTTAACTCCCAATTAAGTTTTTCCTGCCAGTCAGATCTATGTACCTCCTGCATATTGATGATATTTGAATGGCCATGTCTCACATATTAAGTATTAGGATCCTTGGTTTTCAGAAAGAAACTAATTTTCCATGCTTTTTATTATTTTTAATATTTCTAAAGTGGGATCTTATTTATCTTTGTAGTCATAATGTCTGGCCCAGTGCCTGGAATCAAAAACACAAATGTTTCTTGTTGTTTTTGTTTTTATTTGTTTTTAAATATTTTTTTAGTTGTTGATGGACTTTATTTTCTTTATTTTTATGTGATGCTGAGGATTGAATCCAGTGCCTCATGCATGCTAGGTGAGCACACTACCACTGAGCCACAGCCCCACACAAATGTTTTTTGCACTTAAATTTTATCTGGTAAGGAAAGAGGTTTTGTTTCTTTTTTCTTTTGTACAAGATTGAACTCAGGTTCACTTTACCAATGAACTATATCCAGCCCTTTTTATTTTTGAGACAAGGTCTCATTAAGTTGCTAATACTGGCCTCAAATTTTCCATCCTCTTGCATTAGCCTCTCAAGTCACTGAGATTACAGGCATGCACCATCAAGCCCAAAGAATTCTTAAACTGGGCTGGGGTTATGGCTCAGCGGTAGAGCACTCGCCTAGCACGTATGAAGCCCTGAGTTCAATCCCCAGCACCACATAAAAATAAATAAAATAAAGATATTGTGTCCAACTACAACTAAAAAATAAATATTAAAAAAAGAATTCTTAAACTTAAATATTCTGTGAATTTTATTTTAATACCACTATGAATTATCATTGATTGTGTTAATTATTCAGAATTGCTAAAGCATGAATCTGTGCATTAAGTAATAGGATTCTGTATGAACTAAACATAAACATAAACTTGATCAAATACTTCCTCACACAGGTTCACTATTATGAAGATGGAAATGTTCAGTTGGTTAGTCATAAAGATGTACAAGATTTAGTAACTGTTTCGGTGAGTATGCAATTTAATGTCTTTTTCACTTTTGTCTTTTTTACTTTAAAAATTTTGTTTTGCTCTGGAGTGCAATCCATCCATTATTTGTTGTTGTTTTGTTTGTTTGTTTAGTTATATATGACAATAGAATGTATTTTGACTTATACGTACCTGGAGTATAACTTCCCATTCTTGTGGTTGTACATGATGTGGAGTTACACTGGTCGTATATTCATATGAACATAGGAAAGTTGTGTCCGATTTATTCTACTGTCTTTCCCATTCTTAACTCTCCTCCCTTCCCCCTATTCCCAGCCTACTTCCTCCTCCAATTCAGTGAACCTCTGCCCCCCCACCACAGTTGTGAGTCAGCATCCACATATCAGAATACTTGGCCTTTCATTTTTTGGTATTGGCTTATTTCACTTAGCATGATAGTCTCCAGTTCCATCCATTTACTGGCAAATACCATAATTTCATTCTTCTTTATGGCTGAGTATTATTCCCTTATGTATATGTACTGCATTTTCTTTATCCATTCATTTGTTGAAGTGCACCTAGGTTGGTTTCATAGCTTAGTTATTGTGAATTGAACTGCCATGAACATTGATGTGGCCATGTCACTCTAGTATGCTGATTTTACATCCTCTGGAACATTGCCAAGGAGTGGGATAACTGGGTCAAATGATGGTTCCATTCTAAGTTTTCTGAGGAATCTCCATACTGCTTTCCAGAGTGGTTGTACCAATTTGCAGTCCCAACAGCAATGTATGAGTATACCTTTTCCCCCACTAGGGACTGAACCCAGGAGGAGCACTTAACCACTGAATCATATCCCCACCCCCACTTTTTTTTTTTTGAGACACCATCTCGATAAGTTACTTAGGGCCTTGCAGAGTCTGGCCTCAAACTTGTGATCCTTCTGCCTCTGCCTTCCAGGTTGCTGGGTCTACCACGCGGCCTGCGCAGTGGTTTCATTAATGAGGTTCTAGGCATAAAGTTAGTTAGAAGAGATCGAAATAAAAACACAGACTCAATTACCTTATTTCTATTGCTAGGTCCGAGACGGCCCCCCTCTGGTTCCCTCCTCCAACCGCCCAGCAGGGCAGCAGGGATTACTCAGGGCTAGCAGGAGAGAGCGAGCGAGCAGCCTTTTATTGGGGAACAAGAGATTCAGGGGAGAATTCCATCCAATGAAGGTTGAGGGGGGCCGCACTCCAAGGTCAGGGTCAGTGATTGGGTCCCCGGGGTCAGTGGTCAGGCACACCCACACACGGATGGGCTCTCTCATCAGGAAAACTTCGACTTTTGCCAAAGTGCCTCAGGCCCTTAACGGTAGTCGCTCAATCACTTGTTAGAATGGCTTCCCACAGCTGGGATCATAGGCATGCACCACCGCATCTAGCAACATAGAAACATTTTTTGTGGGTAATAACTAACTTTCCAAAGCAAAAAAAAAAAAAAAAAGTAAAAAGAATAACATTAATTTATGTCTTCACAAATTGTGTAATATCTGCCTTAATAAAAGACAGCTGGATTCTTATATCAGCTTCATACAGTCTGTAAGCCTCACGGCGATAAAGTCACTGCACATCATGAAGTTTCTAAGAAACTGTATTGTAGAAGCATGAGAGTAAGAGTGGAAAAGGCAGGGCCGGGGCTGTGGCTCAGTGGTAGAGCGTTTGCCTAGAATGTGTGAGGCACCAGGTTCGATCCCTGGCACCGAATACAATAAACAAATAAAATAAAGGTATTGTGTCCATCTACAACTAAAAAAAATATTTTTTAAAAAAAGAGTGGAAAAGGCAGACATCGAGCTGGAATGTAACTCAGTGGCAAAGCACTTGCTTAGCAAGCAAAGGTCCTGGGGTGCGGCCCTGAGGGCATTGTTCATTTCATCTTTTTTTTAAAATATTTATTTTAGTTGTAATTGGACACAACACATTTATTCCACTAATTTATTTTTATGTGGTGCTGAGGATCGAACCGAGGGTCTTGTGTGTGTGAGTCGAGCTCTCTGCTGCTGAGCCACAACCTCACCCCTGTTCATTTCATCTTAAAGCAAAAATATTTTTTCAGGGCATTAAGATTTAAAGACACAGTAATGACCTCTTCGGACCATACTGTGATAGACTGGAAAGTACATGGGGTTTGTTTGTCTGGTTTTTAGTTTTGGTGAAGACCTGGATTCAGATTCTATTTTTATCATTCAAAAGCTGTATAATTTTGGTCATATCATTTGAGAGATTCTATTTTTTTCTGCAGAATGAAGGTGATGATAATAAAACTATTTATTTCACAGGATAATTCTAAGAATCAAAGGAGGTAATATGCATTGGAACGCTTGGTAAACTAGGAATTATCATATCAGAGTTAGTTAATATGGATTAACTTTTCAGCATCTTTTTACTTAGTGCTTGCTTGTTTGTTGTGGTACTAGAGATTGAGCCACCGATTTGCTCTATCATTGAACTATTATCTCCAGCCCCTTGTATTTATTTTCAAAATTTTTATTTTGAGGCAGGGTTTTGCTAAGTTGCCAATGCTGGCCTTGCAGTTCTGATCCTTTTGCCTTAGCCTCTGGAGTTGCCACTGTATCCAGCACAAATGAATTTTTAAATATATAAGCACTGCTTGCTTCAGTGGCACACACCTATAATCCCAGCAACTCCAGAATCTAGAGGCAGGAGAATTGCAAGCTCAAGGCCAACCTTGATAACTTAGTGAAACCATGTCTAAAATTTTAGAAAAAGAGCTGTGCTCAGTAGCAGAGCACCCCTTTTGCTGTACTCAACCAATAAACAAGGAACCAAATGATTCATTCATTTTTTTCTTCCTCTTTCTCCATTAGAATGAAATCCAAACTGCCAAGGAGTTTATTAAAATCATAGAGAGTGCAGAAAATGAATATCAGGTAAGAAGACTTGGAACTAATTTTTCTAGATCCTAGTGCCATATTTTTCTGTTAATATATTTGTTAGACCTTTCTCTCTTTTAACTTGAATGCCTATGCTGTTGAGTCAGACCTTTTAATCTGGTATTCTGCTTGAAATTAAGGTTTCAAGTTTGGAAGAGACCATAGCTCTAGTTTAAGCAATATAGATATCTTCTTGGCTCACTTCAGAAATTGAAGAGGAGCTCACTAGAAATAATATAATCTATCCTGTCTAACTCTTGTAATGTAAGCGTGTCCTTTGATAATGAGTTACTTTCCTATTCACAATCAACCCATTTCTGTTCAAGTAACTAACCTTCAATTATCTGTTGCAGACTGCAATTAGTGAAAACTACCAAACAATGTCAGACACCACATTCAAGGCCTTGCGCCGGCAGCTTCCAGTTACCCGCACCAAAATTGATTGGAACAAGATACTCAGCTACAAGATTGGCAAAGAAATGCAGAATGCTTAAAGGCTGACTGTAGGATTCTTCAGTATGTAGAAAGAAAAGGATTCAACATGTGGTCATATGATAAATAAGT